GGGGGGCAGGGAGGGAGGGAGGAATTCGCTCGATGCGCCGGCCGCCCGCAGTCGCCGATTCCTCCTCCGCCGGCGCGGCGGCCGCCGAGGACTCCGCCGGCATTCGAATATGCAGTGTGGCCTTTGCCCTTTTCCGCCTTCCGCGGATTCTTTGGTACTTGCGTTTCCTCCTCGCTCTCGTGCCTTGCGGTACACCCTCGTTATGATCAATTTAACGAGGATGATAAAAAAGGTAAATCTCGAAAGGGACATAACAGACGATCTCCGATTTACCTTGTCCTTTTCTTCTTTCTTCTCACTTCTTAATTGGAAGATTGAGTTTTCTCTTTTGAATTAATGTTATCTCATATTTTACTCCTTTGCCCTGCCTCTCCCTTTATGCGGTTTTCTATTGTCCCTTCTTCGCCGACATCTACAGACGGAAATTCTTTTATGCAGTGTGGCCTTAGTCCTTTTCCGCCTTCCCCGGATTCTTTGGTACTTGCGTTTCCTCCTCGCCCTCGTGCCTTGCGTTACATCCACGTTATTATTAACTTAACGAGGGTGATGAACAAGATACATCTCGAAAGGGACCTGAATAACGAACAAGGTAAATCGATGATTTACCTCGTTCGTCATCCTTTTCTTCTTTTTCTCGTTATGGTAATCTTAACGAGGATGACAAACAAGGTAAATCGCTGATTTACCTTGTTCGTCAATCGTGTCCTTTTCGTCTCGTTATGGTAGTCTTAACGAGGATGACAAACAAGGTAAATCTCGAATGGGACATAAAAGACGAACAAGGTAAATCTCTGATTTTCCTCGTTCGTTATTCGTGTCCCTTTATTCTTTCTTCTCATTTCTTAATTGGAAGATTCAGTTTTCTCTTTTGAATTAATGTTATCTCATTTTTCATAATGTTATTTCATTTTTATTTATCATAATGTTATCTCATATTTCACTCTTTTGCTCTGTCTCCCTCTTTACGCGGTTCTCTGTTGTCCTTTCTTCGCCGCCGTCTGCAAACGGAAATTCTGGAGGCATTCTTTTATACAGTGTTGCCTTTAGCCTTTCCATCTTCGCCGAATTCTTTGATACTTCCGTTTCCTCCTCGCTCGCATGCATTGCGTCATTATGATAATCGTAAAGAGGATAACGAACAAGATAAATCTCGAAAGGGACATGAATGACGAACAGACATTTTTTTTACTATTACTCTCATATATTAGTGCCCAATAGTAAGAAAGAATTGATTCAAACTTCAGTCAAATCTAGCAGTCGAACTGCAAAATATTTCCGTGAGTGCAAATCATGCTTGCACCTGTGCAAAACACGTGCACCTATTTTTATTTCATTAATCATATATATTTATTCTGTGAATGTGTACATTGTAATATTGCGTAAAAATAAACTAACACTATCAACTGAACAGTCATTAAAATAATTGGGGAGAAATTTCACTTCATGAAATATATGAGAAAATAGGCAAATCAGTATCTGAAAATAAAGAAAAATTAAAGGGAAACGTATTAAAATACTGCCGGTGGTTCTGCTGTAAAAGAAAATATTAACCTTGTTCGTCATTGTTGTCCCTTTCTTCTTTGTTCTCATTTCTTAATTGAGGTATTCAGTTTTCTCTTTTTAATTAATGTTATCTCATATTTTACTTTTTTGCTCTTTCTTCACATTTATCTTGATTTTTGTTGTATCTCCACCGCCGTCCACAAACGGAAATTCTGAAGGCATTCTTACATGCAGTGTTGCCTTTGGCTTTTTCCATCTTTGCCGTATTTTTTGATATCTCCGTTTCGTCCTCGCTCTCACGCTTAGCGACATCGTTATGTTAATATTTATTTTCTTTGTTCATGATTTATATTCCTTCCTTCTTTCTTCTAATTCTAACGTTCGGGTAATCAATTTTCTCTGTTAATGTTATTTCATATTTTACTTTTTGAGCCTTTGTCCCCTTTTTGCTGTTCTTTGTCGTCCCTTCTCTGCCGCCGTCCACATACGGAAAATCTGAGTTCAAGAGGCATTCAAATATGCAGTATTGCCTTTGGCCTTTTTTGCCATCTTCGCCGAATTCTTCGATATTTCCGTTTACTCCTCGTTCACATGCATTGCATTACTTCTTGGTTCTGATAATCTCTACTTACCTTGTTCGTTATTCACGTTCCTTTCGTCTTTTTTCTCATTTTTTTACATCCGGGTATTCAGTCGTCTCCCTTTCCGCTCT